TTGGGGGATCCATTTGCCAATTTCAACTGTCTCCGTTAATCTGACCCTGAGAGTAAGAGTTGCCCATTTTCAGAAGATACATGGATGCATTATACTTCTACATGAATCCCTGGTCTCAGCATGTCATAAAATTGGAAGGAGACCATCCCAGGACAGCAACTCATGCAGAGACCCCAAAAGGAGCTGCTCACTGCTTTTGCCACACTCTGCTCAGGATTACTTGGGGTTGTTCTGGGAAACAAGGAGGGCAGCTGGATTTTCCAACTTCACAGCAGAACAGCAGGGACTAAGACAAGAGGCGCTGGGACAAGACTTGAAGAGGAGGAGGACCATCATTATTAGCAATAAAGCACCATTGATGTACATAGCACTTCACAGAGAGAAAGCAGAGAAGGGGTGCCATTTGTTTATTTCAGCTCATATGACCAATGGTCTCAAGCACATCCACAACATACGTATAAAATACCAAAGCAAGAATTTAAAACCTAATCCTAGCAGCAATTATTTATGCTTCAGTGCTATTATAATAGCTAAGTATTTTGCTACTGAAGCAGTAATTATTGGATCGATATCTGACAGCAGAGAAGAAGTCACCCATGGCTCTAGTGGAAGGTGGTATTTGGATAAAAGTGGATATATCCAATATGACCTAAGAGCTCAGCTAACCAATGAGAGCAAAACAAAAAAAGATGTGTCAGCGTCTCAATCTCACCAGATGCAAAGGTACAAAGCCTATCTGAATATGGAATTCATGAAAAATGTCCTGTTAATTCTGCAGACTGTATAGCGTTTAATCTTGCGAGAGTAAAAGCAAATCTATGAGAAGGGGTAGTAAAATGGCTTAGATATACTGGAAGGGTCAGTGAAGGAGGGATCCTCAAAGCTAGTGGAGAACATACACGCCTGGCACGTGCGGCGGTACTGGCCCTATCCCAATTTCCTGCCTTCGATCTGATCTGTCTCCATGCTTCTTGCTGAGATATAGTCTTGATTGTTGATATTGGGAGGCTGAGGAGGTTCAATTTCTCATCTATTTGATTTGACCAAGTATTTCTATAATTATCCTCCTTCAGTCTATATATCAAGCCCCTTGACAATGGACTAGAAAAACAAACCTTCAGTCTTGTCTGAAAGCAGCCAACCAATCTCTAAGTTCAAGGGAACTTTGTGCTAGCTCCCATGGGGAGCCTATGTTCTAAGGAACTTGGAGGGTGTGGTCACATGACAAGTTTACAGCAATTTGTTCTTGCTGTATATTTGATCAGGGATATTTATTTGTGGGTTGGGATAATCACACATCCCTCTGGGAACTGCTTGCATCACATGACGAGGCTCCAGGCACTGTTCCGATAGCCGTGCTGCTCAAGTGGCGGCGTGGCATGAGTTTTTAAATTTTTCTTTGCACATGCGCATATGCACATGGTCAAATCACAGCTCCCACTTCGACGCACTGTACTCCCTTGTTTTTGCAGTGTTTCTCCCCCCCACCCCGAACAGAGAACAAAATGAACCACCGACATACAACTGAGTGCTGGAGTTTATATATGTGCACTTGAATGTTCATGCGTTGAATATGTTCAGTGCAGGATTGTTCATGCGCACAATGGCAAAAGCTAGGGAAAAATTTATTGCAAGAAGGACATTTAGATGATCTAATCACATTCATAGTGAGAGATGGCTGATCAGTTTGGCAAAATTGCGGATTCACAGTGCAAATATTCGAAAAGTACTTGACTTTCCTGGTGTCGGGAAAATCACTAGGAAACTAGGATGATTGCGGGGGTGAGTCTGCTTCGATATGGGAGATAGATGCGACTGTCTGATTAGCCCTTTTAAATGCGATACGGAACAGTGGTGAAACTTGATCAAAATGACCGTGTGACCACAGCCACAGTCTACATTATGACACGGAATCGCTTCTTGCCCTATTGGCTAAGATGTGTAAACATTATCTATACATTATGACACGGAGGGAGACTCCGGACCAGAGCAAAGGTAAAGACTAGGTCAATGATCAGTTGGCTGTAGGGAATGGGAGAGGCAACTTCCACCCAAGAAATCCTACCCCTTGGACCCTGAGATGCTGGAATTCACCAGGTACAGACACTCTGCACGTGATCAAATGCCCTCTGTTCTTTACTGGGGCATCGCATTTCATGCTTTTGCTCAAATGAATGCCTGTAGTGGAAGGCCTGCTGATTCCATTCATTCTGTGATTCTGACATGGTTTTCAGAGAATCTGGAAAAGGAATCTAGCCCCAGCAGCAGCCTGGAGCAAACTTGGGAGAGGCAGGAGCCAGGCAGCTCACTGGAGTCCAGTGCTGCCTCCGCCCATGCTCTCTGCGTGCCTTATCTGGACCTTGTTTGTTTGTTTAACCCAGACTGCTTTCCAAAGCCTTATCTCTGCTCCAAGTTTTACTGGGCTGTAAAAGTGATTGAGCTGGAGAGATTCCCCCATCCTGTACCAACTGCATGGTGGATTTGCAACAGAACTGTAACAGCCTTGGATACTTGTTCCACAAGCAGAGCCAAACCCTACCAGGCCCAACCAGGAATGCTGGCTAAGTTTGCCAACCTCCAAGTGGGATCCGGCAATTTCCCAGAATTACTACTGAATTCTGCTTTGGAGGATGCACTTCTATGCTATTGTATCTGGCTGAGGCCTCTCCTCTCCCCAGGCCCTGCCCCCTCAGACTCCACCCCAAAATCTCCAGGAATTTCCTAGCCTGGAGCTGGCAACCCTAATACTGGTAGGTGGGTCAGTGTGGTTAGAATGTTGGGCTAAGCCTAAGGACAGCCTGGTTCAGACCCCCCACTCACCATAGAAAAACTCACTGGGTAATGTCTCAGTGGAACTTAACTTACAGGGTTGTTGTGAATAGAGACATGAGAGAAGGGACAAATAAAAATGTAATAGATAAGTGGGTGTTGGATTCCTTCCTGGCTGCAGAAATGGGGACTGGGCTACTCATTGACTCAGATGCACGGGGGCTTTTAAAGTGGAGCTATGGAGAAGCAAAAAGTCTGTGATGCCCCCCAGCTAACCCCCTCCCCCAGCAACTTTTGTTGTTGTTGTTCAGTCGCACAGTCAAGTCCGACTCTTCGCGACCCCATGGACCAGATCATGCCAGGCCTTCCTGTCTTCCGCTGTCCTCTGAAGTTTGCTGAATTTCATGTTCGTTGCATCTATGACACGGACTAACAATCTCATCCTTAGCCGCCCCCGTCTTCTTTGACCTTCAATCTTTCCCAGCATCAGGGTCTTCTCCAGTGAGTGCTCCCGTCTCATTTGGTGGCCAAAGTATTTGAGCTTCAGTTTCATTATCTGGCCTTCTAGGGAACAGTCAGGGTTGATTTCTTTTAGGATTGACTGATTTGATCTTCTTGCAGTCCAAGGGCCTCTCAAGAGTCTTCTCCAGCACCATAGTTCAAAAGAATCTATTCTTCGGCACTCGGCCTTCCTTATAGTCCAACTCTCGCAGCCATACATGACTACTGGGAATACCATTGCTTTGACCATGCGGACTTTTGTTGGCAGGGTGATGTCTCTACTTTTTATCATGCTGTTTAGGTTCACCATCGCTTTCCACCCAAGGAGCAGGCGTCTTTTAATTTCATGGCTGCTGTCACAGTCTGCAGTGATCTGGGATAGCTGCCCTGAGCCCGCTTGCGGGGAGGGCGGGGTATAAGTTTGACAAATAAATAAATCCCAGGAATGTGAAGTCTGTCACTATTTCCATGACTTCCCCTCTGTTTGCCAAGGAGTGATGGGGCCGGATGCCATGATCTTAGTTTTTTTTATGTTGAGCTTCAAGCCCACTTTTGCGCTCTCCTCTTTTATCCTGAGCAAGAGGCTCTTTAGGTCCTCTTCACTTTCTGCCATTAGAGTGGTATCGTCTGCATATCTGAGGTTGTTGATCTTTTCCCCAGCAATCTTAATTCAACTTCCCCAGCAACTTACCCAAGTTCATAGTTGTGAACATGCAGCACAGAACACGAGTCTTGGCACCATCTGAGTCACAACTTCTCTTTTGTGCCGACACAGGGGATATAGATCGGTGCCTGGGAGATCTGGGTTCTTGCTGCACTGAGTGGCTTCGGGGGGGCCTGTCTCTTTCTCACAGTCTCAGTCCTCCATCTATAAAATGGGAATACTAGCAACCAGTTTCACAGAGCTGTGAGAATGGGCAATATAATGACTGAGCAATACTTTCCAAAATAAGAAATGCTACTAAAGTAATCAATTTCGACTAGCTGTGTGGGTTCATCACTACACAAGTCTGCAAGCACAATAACATAGTAGCTTTGTTAGGACAGCCACTGTAGCAAGCAATCCTTCAAGTTACTCAGAATTCTTCTTAGACTGGGTTTTTCAGTTTAAAATAAAATTTGTGGGCAACAAGCTTAAGGATGACTTCTGTGTTACTCGAAAATTTGCACACTGCATCATAAACATCAGTGTGTCCTAACAGAAGTATATGCTGAAGTGTTTTCAAAATTCAGTTTCTCTCTTCACCTTGCTTTGAACACGGCTTGAGTGTTATGGTTGCACTCACAATGTGGAATAATTCATGGTGGGTACTTTCCAGAGGGAACAGTTGTTACTTTTCTGTTTTTTTTTAACTACATCTCTATCTTCAGGGATATTCTCTTCTCCATTTTGCTACAAGAAGACCATCAATCTAAATGCAGCTTTTTATAGGAAAGAGTAAAAACATTTTTAAACCATAATTTGACTGCTCATATATTGCAAATAATGTATGTTTATTCTTTCTGGAGATTCTTTTCATTTGTAGAGAACTTTACAAGCGGTACACTTTTGCAGCCCACAGCTTGGTACATAAAACTGGAATGATCCCTGTGTCTTTTCCCCTTTGTACTTCTCTTCTGAGGCAAGTAGGCACCTCCTCTGCTCTCATCCACCTTTCAGTCCTTCTCTAAAAAGAGGGAAATAATTTCTCTGAAGGGGATTGTCATGCCTTTTCTCTCCTTCCCCACAGTGAATCTATGCTGCTCTTTCCCATGCCAGCACAAAGGCATATGTGTCCAAGTGGGCATGGAAGACTACGAATGCGACTGCACCAGGACTGGCTATTTTGGCAAGAACTGCACTTTGCGTGAGTATCTCCCCTGCCCATTTCACAATCCTGGGGGTGGGAGGCAGTGAGAGACAGAGAGAGCAAGGAGGGGGTATATGCTGAAGCTGAAATACGTAGGACTTACCCAGGCAACAGCTCCTTACCTGCCCCAGTAGATAGTGTGCCACCTAGAAACCTTCATGTCTCAGTGATCCTTGAGTGTCTATCAGTCAGTATCAAATTTAGCGATTGGCCTAGATTCAGTAGTGAACTGCAGCAGAGTGCTATCTTCATGACTAGTTTGCCACAGAAGTCTTACTTCTTTCTGGAGAGCCGGAAGAATGTAATGGCTCATATGGTGATCTGGGAAGCTCCTGGTTCAAGTACCACCTTCACCGTGAACACATGAGGTAGCTTTAGGTAAGCCACTATTCTCTGATGCTTAGCCTCCCCTAGGGCTGCCAAGTGGGGGCGGGTGGCGGGTAAACCCCCGCTTTGGAGGCCCGATTTCTGCCGCTGTGGAATCGGGCCCCGGGGGGAACCCCACTCCCGGCGTGCGCGTCACCAGGAAGTGACGTCATGACGCCGGGCACGCTGGAGGTGGGGCCATGACCATCCAAGGGGAAACTATGGTTTCCCCTTGGATGGTCGTGGCCCCGCCCCCAGCGTGCCCGGTGTCATAACGTCACTTCCTAGTGATGTGCATGCGGTGCGTGCGCGCTCCAGGATCCACCCGGGAGTCCCCCCACTCCAGAGGTGAGTACTACTTGGCAACCCTAGCCTCCCCCCCAAAAAAACTACAATATGGGGTATTAATATTGGCTTACCTTAGAGGGCTATTATAAGAATGTCTGAAATAATGTATGTACCACACCTCCCAAATGCTTGATGAAATGCAAACCATTCTTCTTCTTAAAGGACATACTTACATTACGAATTTCAGCCATTTGTTTTAGTTACCATAGCTTTCCTTAGAAGAACGCCAGAAATTATTTATTGGGAAAACTTTACTAGAGATCCTATGAAGCCCTCAGACGGCTACTCCACCACCAGGGTATTCCATCTTCCTCCAGCTTCACAAATGAAGATCAGGCACAGGGTTGCTAGGTGAGGCCAACAGGTGGGCGGGGGACTTACCAGGAGGCTCCAGGAGAGGACAGGGAGGCTCGGGGAGAGGGAACTCCAAAGCGAGTTCTGGGTGAGCTGCCTGCCATCACATTTAAAGGGACCACATTCCTTTTAAACGCTTTCCCTCCATAGGAAATATTGGAGGATGGGGCACCTTCTTTTAGGGCTCATAGAATTGGACCCCCTGGTTCAGTCTTTCTAAAACCTGTGAGTTGGGGGTTTTTTTAGGAGAGACACCAGCAGCTATGCTGAAAATTTGGTGCCTCTAACTCAAAAATACCCCCCCGAGCCCCAGATACCCATGAATCGATTCTCCATTATACCTTATGTGAACAGGTATAATGGAATGCCCAGCAGTTATTCCCCCCCCCCCCGGCTTTCTGATAGCTCTGAGGTGGGGGGAGGAGCTCCAAACTGGGGAATGCCCTGCCCCCAACTGGGGATTGGCAACCTGAATCAGACCCCAGGTGGATAGCAGAGCTTCTGGTTTAAGGGTATACATGACTTTTACCTAGGGTTGCCACCTCCAGGTTATGAAATACCTGGAGATTTTGGGGGTGGAGCTGAGGAGGCATAATGCCATAGAATCCAACTTCCAAAGCAGCCATTTTCTCCAGGTCAACTGATTTCTGTCATCTGGAGATTAGTTGTAATAGTGGGATATCTCCAGCCACCCCCTGGAGGTTGGCAACCCTACTTTTAACAGCAGCACCCAGGCTTATAGCCACATTACAGTCAGGAGGCCCACCACATGCCAATCATCTCACCCACCTGGCCTCAGTCAAGGCTCCGGGTTGGTCCCAGGCATGGGCCCTGCCCGAGGTCCTTTAGTCAGTGCCTCTAATGGCTGCACTCATACTGCACTGTTAGGCCCTGAGGCAGCTATGTCTCCAACATATTTGGGTAGTGCAGGCTGCCACCCTCCAAGCCAAGAACGCGGCTTCCCTTATCCCCGGGAAAGTGTCTAGTCTCTTCAGCCTTGCTCCCTTCCCTGCTCACAGGCTTCCTGCCCTTGTCAACCCACTGCCCTCTATCTCCTCACTTTTTCCTGTTTGGTCCCTTTATCGACATCCTCCCTGCCACACCCACTTCCTGGTTCTCTCGGCCTACTCTTGAACAGGGTTTCACTCTGAGACCTCCACAGGAAGTCATCAGGAGACTGGCACTGGCTTTCATTCCCCCCTCTCTGCCCTTTAGCTACCCTTAGGGCCCCCACCCCTGCCTTGCTGGCCTAGGGTTGCCGCTCCAAGTGGTGGATGAAGATCTCCCAGAATGACAACTGGTCTCCAGGTGAGAGAGATCAGTTCCCCTGGAGACAATGGCAGCTTTGGAAGGTGGGCTCTATGGCATTGTACTCCACTGCTGATGTCCCTCCTCAGACCCAGCCCTCCCCAGGCTCCACCCCCAAAATCTCCAGGAATTTCCTATCCCGGAGCTGGCATCCCTAGCAGCCGCCATTGGCACTGTTCCTGGGTTCCCATGCATTATACTCCAGCTGGGAGTAGCCTGGAATGTGACTTGGGTTGCCAGGTCCCCCGTGGGGGGGATTTTTCTGCCGAAAGGGCCCCCAACCCGCCGGTCCGGATCCGGCTGGCGGGGGGAACCCCACCCCCAAAGTGGCCAGATCTGGCCAACGTGCCCGGCATGATGACGTCGCCCGGAAGTGACGTCATCATGCCAGGCGACGCTCTAGCAACCAGCCTGAAAACGTTATGGTACCAAGAACTCCTGACCAGGTCCAGGACTCTCCTCGGTATTTAAGATGGTAGGACTTGGCAACCCTAGATGTGACAAGCCTTTAGGCCCTTCAGAGACCTATCTATTTTCCTTGGAAGGAGTTCATGGCAGTTAAATAAGATTTAAAATTGGTTTACATATGCAGCATGCAAGTGTCTTTCCCTGGTGCTTAAACCAATGGTGTGAAAAATGGCTGCATTCTCTTAGCTTGCCTTTCTTTTCTCATGGAACAAAAGGCACCTCACCATAGGTTTCCAGCAGAGCTCCCATTATTGGAACTGACCTGACCCAGTTCTGCTTTTGTTTCAGTAAGGTATAGGGGAGCCAACTAGAGTTGCCAAACTCCAGGTGGTAGCTGGAGATCCCCTGGGATTACAACTGATCTCTAGGCAACAGAGATCAGTTCACCTGGAGAAAGCAGCAGCTTTGGAAGGTGGATTCTGTGGCATTATACCCTGCTTAAGTTCCTCCCCTTCCCAAATCCCACCCTCCTCAGATGCAGCTCCCAAAATCTCCAGGTGTTTCCTAGTCCAGAGCTGGCAACCATAGTGCCAAACAATGTTCCCTCTAAGCTGTGGAGTCTTGTGTGCAAAAATTCTACTTTGTGAGCAACTGGCATTAAAGCTGTGAGCCAGCGATTTGGCTACTGCATAAATTAATTTGATCTGGAGCCGTCCTTCCTGAGCTAAGACAAAAATCTGTGAGCTGGAGGCTAAAAAACTGTGAGCTAGCTCACACTAACTCAGTTTAGAGGGAACACTGGTCCCAACTCCAGATTGGGAAATTTCTGGAGATTTGGTGGTGTGTGGGGAGGGTGGGATTTGGGAAGTGGCGGTGGCAGGAGCTCAGTAAGGATGTGATGCAGAGTTAACCCTACGATACCTGCCATTCCTTCCACAGTAGCTGATCTCTGTAATCTGGAGAGGAACTGAGTTTTTCTCTATTTTGTGTACTTCACACCGTGGTCCCTTTTTTGTTTGGTACTATTTAGAGGGTTGTGTATCTGGCACAGCAGTCTTTGAACATGAATGCTGTAGACATCTGTTCAGGACATATCACGGACTGGATTGGCTTCCTCCACAGCGGAGTTCTGGACGAGGTTGCGCAGTGCCCTGAAACCAAGCCCCAGTTTCTATCACTTCATCCTGACCCACTTCCGGTGGTTCTGGGACATCATCAACAACACATTCATCCGGGACACACTGATGCGGTTGGTGCTGACAAGTGAGTGGAGAGTGGCAAATTGGGGTAGGGGAGCAGGTGCTGAAAATGTTCATCCCTAAGGAGAGAATTTGGACTGACAAGGGATTGTGGTAAAACAGTGGCACTTCCAGGCATCCAGAGGCCTCTGCAGGTGTTGCTCCAGATGTTTATGTGCCTGAAATGGAAAACCCAAATGCCCTTCCTCATCCATGAATGCGGCACAAACCACTGGGAAGTTTTCTTGCACAAGCTTTGTTAAAATGTACTGTGCAAGAGAACTTCCTAGCTTGTTGTGCCCCATGGGACAGATCTGACCATCTCATGCTTTGCTACCGTTAATAACATCCACAGTTCACCATCTACCATCATCTAGCCTCATAGCAGTACCACCGGTGAATTCTGGTATCAGTCTTCCTGGTAAGTGACAAGAGCAGGACTGCTGGGTCCATCTGGCTCAGTATCCTTAGCAGCTGCTTTCTACTGAGACAGTTGAAGAAGAAGAGATTGGATTTATACCCTGCCCTTCACTCGGAGTCTTAGAGCGGCTTACAAACTGCTTTCCCTTCCCCTCCCCACAACAGACACCCTATGAGGTGGGTGGGGCTGAGAGAGCTCTTTCAAGAACTGTCCTTGAGAGAACAGCTTTGACAGAACTATGGCTTGCCCAAGGTCATCCAGCAGCTGCAAGTGGAGGAATGGGGAATCAAACCCGGTTCTCCCAGATTAGAGCCCGTGCACTTAACCACTACACCAAACTGGATCTCCATGCACTTAACCACTACACCAAATTGGCCTATCAAGGCTAGTGTGGTCTTCTGTGACTGGCAGCAGCTCTCCAGAAGTTCACATCACCTATTTTCACATCCCTTCCTATCTGATCCTTCTAAATGGAAAGGCCAAGGACTGAACCTGGGGTCTTTTGTATTCAGTGCAGATGCTTTACCACTGAGCTACAGCCTCATCCTGTCTCCCTGGCTCTTGCTCCTCAGAGGATGCACTGCCTCTGAGCATGAATGTTCAGTGTAGCCATTATTTCTAATGGCCACTGATGAATTCCTCCATGAATTTGTCTATTCCCGTTAAAGACATAATTATGTCTAGTTGTAGTGAGTTCCATTGGGTATCTGCAGGTTCTAATATTTTGGGAGCCAGAAAGAAGTTCTCTTTCCATTTACTCCATTTCCTTTTCTTTCTCTGTTGCCTCGCAGTCCGTGCCAATCTCATTCCCAGCCCGCCCACCTACAATTCTGCCTATGGGTACATCAGTTGGGAGGCCTATGCCAACGTCAGTTACTTCACTCGTGTCCTCCCACCAGTGCCCAACGACTGCCCCACTCCTATGGGAACCAAAGGTATGTTCCAACTGCTTCTTGGAAGGCCTCATTGGCTTACCTTTCTTCAAAGTCTGTACTGCCAGTAGAATCAAGAAATTACTTCTGAAAATAAAAAAGTCTAGCAGAACAAAATTTTAGTATCACCTTGAAGGCCATCAAAATTTTCCAGGGGTATAAGGTTCCATGAGTCAAAGTTCACTTAATCGGATACAGGTAGGAATGGAGATCTCTCAACCCTTAGTCATGCCTATTTGTATCTGACAAAGTGACCTTTGACTCACAAAAGCTTATACTCCAGGAAAAAATTGGGCCTTTAAGGTGCTACTGGGCTCAAATTTTGTTTGACTGCTACGGACCAACATAGCTACCCACCTGAGGCTAAAGTCCAGCAGTAATTCAAACCTGCCTCTAGCACTAATCAGAACACATGGGGTCCTTGTAAAGCAGAAATAAAGCACGGGAATCCTCATATTAACCAAGATGTGTACTAGGTAAACAGTCAAGAACAGGAGCCAAATTGATAGGAATACCTCGTGGTTGGACAGCATGTAAGCCAAACTTGGTCAAAGATCATCAGGTGCAAAACTGTTCTAGGTGCACTTTTGGTGATATGGAAGGAAGTTTGTGAGATATGCTGTGGATTATCAACAAAAGCAGCTACCCATTAGTAGAAGGAAAAGGCTCTGTCTCTATTATAGTAAAACACCCAGTTTGAAAACGGCTGCATAAACTAAACCAGGCAAACCAACCCATTGATTGAAACACAACTTCACAATTCATCTGCTCACTTATAACCAAATTGCAACCCAGATTTTAAGATGCAAGTCTGAAGGTCAGTGCTAATTCAAAACAGCACTAAATTGTTGCAGACCTGAGAAGTCTGTGTAGGCTACGCATGTTCTTTCAGAGTCCAGAGAAGCAAAGAACATCAGAACAGCCCTGCAAGATCAAACCAAACACCCATCTAGTTCAGCATCCTCTTTTCCAAAGCAGACAGTTGCCCCAAAGGGATGCCACCAGATGGGGAAAGAAGGCAGCAGGCCCCAACTGTTACTCTTCCTTTCCAGCAATGGGTATTTAGTGCCATATTGCCTCTTGAGCATTAAAGCTCCATGTAGCCAGCAGGGCCAATTGCTAGGAATAGTGAATCCATTGTGTCCCCTTTTAAACATAGAGGTGTTGCCACATCTTGTGGCAGTGAATCCCATACGTCAGTTTATGGAATTAAGATAAGCTCTGGTAGCCAGGAAATGCAATGGAGGGTCAGCTTCAGATTCAGCTTCTTACCTTTCCATTGCAGGGCCAGTGCGGCTCCCTGATGCAGAGCTGGTGGCAGAGCGGTTTTTCCTGCGCAGGACATTCCAGCCTGATCCCCTGGGGACAAACTTGATGTTTGCTTTCTTTGCCCAGCACTTCACACACCAGTTCTTCAAGACGTCGGGCAAGATGGGTCATGGTTTCACCCGGGCTCTGGGGCATGGGGTGAGAGCACCTTGCATAGGATAGTCCTTGGACTGTTTGGTTGGGGGGGGGGGGATATGAAAGTGACGTAGTGAAATCATTGTGTGTAGACTCTTTCGCTACAGAAATAAATGCATGGGTTTGTCTCAGTGGCGGCTCCAGGCCCCTGAAACACACTAAGGACGAGTATCTTATCCCAGCCTTGGTAAAGGGTGTGAAAAGATATGAAGGAGGAGAGACGATAACAAGGGTGATTTTAGAGCCAACCAGAATGCCCACTTCCAAGTCTACCTCCTATTCAAGGAACTCAAATGGAGCCCTGAAGGCTAGATGCTTAAAAGAATGAATAATCTTGGGGCACAATTTGAGCCTAGATTTGTCTCCAGAATGTTTTGTCAATGTCTGGCTTCTGCAAAGCAGAGAGAAATCCAGTGACTTCGAACAGAATGCAACAACAAATGCCGAAAAAAATTAGTTTTAACAGTTGCCATGTTTCTAAGGATTTGACAAACAGTGTTAGAAGCCAGTTATGAATGCTGGAAAATGGCTCTGTGTGCATTTTGAAATATATAAAATAAAGTTTCTCCCGTCACTGAGGCTGAAAATCAGCAACAGCCTCTTAGAACAGGGAAAGCTGCTTCTAGGTGTGGGGGGGGGCAGTTAGGAGCAAAGAAGTGAATGGAGCAGTTAATCCCACTTTGCTTTGCTCTGAAAGCACTCTAGACACCTCCCCTTGCCTCCCAGCAGATTTCCCTCAGGCTGCCACCTACTGGCTGTTCCCACACTTACAGTGGTTCACGCCTGGCATCAACCAGAGCCTGTTCCTTTTCTGTTGTAGCTTCCACTTTGTGGAACAGGCTCCTTGTGGAGGTCAGGGGAACACCATCTTTAGAAACGTCCAGGAGGCACTGCATTTTATTGCTCTTTAAATAGCAATGTTTTCATTGTGATTCATAATAAGCCTCCTTGCACCATATGAAAATACGGGATATACATATGTAGCTTTGACTTCAGTAAAATAAGAAGTACCTGAGCAAAACAATATATACCTCAAGCACCTGGGACGAGACAAGGAGGAGTTTGTTTGTTTTTTGCTGGGTTAACACTGGGCCATTTCCACAGGTGGATCTTGGGCACATATATGGGGACAATTTGGAGCGCCAGCACAAACTCAGACTCTTCCAGGATGGGAAGCTGAAGTACCAGGTAGGAAGGCAGCTAAATGCCCCCCCTGCCTTGGAGACGAGGGGAAGGGCCTTCCCAGCTTGTTAACATCCAGTGCGGGCGGTGGTTCAGAGGCACCCTGAGCTTCTTGCTCTTTGAGGTGGGCTGCAGTTGCAAACTCATTGCCCTTGCTCTCCTCCTCCCAGATGATTAACGGGGAGATGTATCCACCTACGGTGCTGGAAGCTCCAGTGCACATGATCTATCCAAAGCACATCCCCCTGGAGCAGCGCCTTGCTGTGGGCCAAGAGGTCTTTGGCCTCCTACCAGGCCTCATGATGTACGCCACCATCTGGCTGCGGGAGCACAACCGCGTCTGTGACATACTGAAGAAGGAACACCCAACCTGGGATGATGAGCAGCTGTTCCAGACCACAAGGCTCATCCTCATTGGTGGGTGCATGCATCTCTGTGCAGAGGGGAGATGGTGGTATGATTCTTGCAAGGGCCATTCTTCTTGTCTGTGGTTCATCCCTGAGTATATGAGTCTGTTTTTGTCTCAGCAGCGTGAAAGAGAAATTAGAGAATCCCTTTGCATTGAGTCAGGAAGGATGCTGCCTCTTTAATGAATGCCATAGCCACATCTTTCTGGTCAGGAAGAGCAATTTAGTTAAACATTGCTCTTCCAGAGCCAGGTGCCTTGCTTTTTCCCAGATTCTTCTAGCAGAAATATAACCCTAGAGCAGTGGTGGCGAACCTATGGCACGCGTGCCAGAGACGGCACTCAGAGCCCTCTCAGTGGGCACACATGCCATCGCCCCAGCCAGGCCCAGACCGTCATTAAAGTATGGAATTCTCTGCCAAATAATTTTAAGTAAATTTGAATGCATTTGGGATTGCTTTCCTTAATTTGTTTGGATCATCTTATGTTAATGCATGAGTTGTTTTTTCTAAACTAAAACCTCAGTATTCAGGTTAAATTGCCGTGTTGGCACTTTGCAATAAATAAGTGGGTTATGGGTTGCAGTTTGGGCACTTGGTCTCTAAAAGGTTCACCATCACTGCCCTAGAGCAACAAGGTCTTATCTGGCAGGCTGTTTCTAGAAGTTTGTTTGTTGGGGGAAATTGTTTGTCTCAAATGCTGGAGGAGTTACAGCCAGCCCTTGTGTCACCATGCCGGTACCACAAAAAGAAAAGGAAGAGCATGAGATGTTATCTTTTGCTGGACCTAGAAGCAACGTAAAGATTGTGTAAACTTCAAATTTCCACGCTGTTTAACCTTAGAAAAAAGTCTGGCCTAGCTCAAGAGCTCACTACTGCTGGCTGGTCCTAGAAAGTATACCATCTTACAGGTTCGAAATCTAAATTTTGAAATTCATACTCCCCAACATTTTTGCATTAGAAAAACCTGGCCATTCCTAGGAAAATGGCTTTTTGTTATCTTAGCACACTATTAAGTTTCACTAGGCAAGTACAAAAAGTGCTTGCATAATTGCGAGCAGGCAGATGCACCCACAGCTTTCCTTTCTTCTTCCCAGGTGAGACCATCAAAATAGTAATTGAAGACTATGTCCAACATCTCAGCAACTACTACTTGCGTCTGAAGTTCGACCCAGAGCTCCTTTTCGGGGTGCAGTTCCAGTATCGGAACCGCATTGCTGTGGAATTCAACCAGCTCTACCATTGGCACCCGCTGATGCCAGACAGCTTTGCCATCAAGAACAAGGAGTACAGCTATGGCCAGTTTGTCTACAACACGACCATGCTGACAGATTACGGGGTGGATGCTCTTGTAGATGCTTTCTCCAGACAGCGAGCTGGGCAGGTGGGTACGCTGCAATATCCTTCCCAAAGAGCCAGCGGTACCTCAAGGAGCAGGTTGGGCTGGTTCTAGGTACATTGAGACTGATAGATGAGCTAACTTGGTTGGCTGTATGCCTCGAGAGCAAAGGAGCCTTATAATCCAGGCTCCCAGATCAACCTAGACCAGGGCCCCAACTAACCCAACCCTTGGCCTCTTCTCCCACCAATGATAAACCTGAATCTGACCATTGGTCCATCAAGGTCGGCATTGTCTACTCAGACTGGCAGTGGCTCTCCAGGGTCTCAAGCAGACGTCTTCCACATCACTTGCTACTTGATCCTTTCACCTGGAGATGCCAGTGATTGAACTGGGGACCTTCTGCACACAGAGCAGAGGCTCTGGCACTGAGCCACAGCCCCTCCTTGCTTCTTTGCTGCACACAATCCAACCACTAGTCTGTGTGACTCAGTCTTTTCTACACGGATGAGGAGCAGCTCTCAAAGGTCTGAGGCAGAGGAAGGCCTTCCCTGTCACCTCTTACCTGAGATCCTTTAACCAGAGATGGCAGGGACTGTATTCTGCCAGTGAGTCATAGCCCTTTGTGCATGGTGGCTGCTGATACCTTGCTTCTGGTTTCCATCTTTTCTTTTGATTACATAAAAATGGGTGGCTTCCTGGTAGGTTAGACAGAGAAATGTGGTTGGCTGCTGTCAAAGAATGACTACTGTGTTCAGTAGACCTCCAGTCTGACCCAATGTTAAAATTTCCATCTTCCCCAAACTCCATGCCACTTGGTAATGGATCCTCACCATTCCCCCCTGCTCCTACTTCCCAGGTTGGAGGGGGGAGGAATATCCACAGTCAGCTTCTGCATGTGGCCATTGGGGTCATTGAGGAATCACGCCTGCTGCGCCTCCAGCCCTTCAATGAATACCGGAAGAGGTTTGGCATGAAACCCTACACGTCCTTCCAGGAACTCACAGGTACAACAGGCCAATCAATGGGTCTTGCTCAGAGGGGGCACTTTGGAGGGTCAATTTAGAAGTTACCCCCAGGAAGTTCTTCCCCGAGATAACGTTATGGGCAGAAGCCATCACATTTCAGTGCTCCTTAAACTTTGTGCGCTGTCCAAGTGCCATGCACACTGTTGCATCTTGTGTAATTTCCAGGTGATTCTGGGCATATGGGATAAGCATAATTCAACTGTTGCTGTCCAAGAAGGGGGTGCACTAAACCTTAATACTTAATTTGCCTGAAAGATCTGCGCAAAGCCAAAGAGGTTCTGCTGGCCTTGGTCCCATTCTGTCAACTGCTGGATCGCATTTCCCCTCTCTCACTCCCTTGTCTCCATTCCAGGGGAGGAGGAGATGGCAGCTGAGCTGGAAGAGGTGTACGGAGACATTGATGCCATGGAATTCTACCCTGGCTTGCTGGTGGAGAAGAGGCAGCCCAATGCCATTTTTGGAGAAAGCATGGTGGAAATTGGGGCCCCCTTCTCCTTGAAAGGGCTCTTGGGGAATCCCATCTGCTCTCCTGAGTACTGGAAGCCCAGTACATTTGGTGGTGCCACTGGCTTTGAGATGGTGAACACAGCATCACTCCAGAAACTTGTACAGCGGAATGTGAAGAACTGCTCGTATGTGGCTTTCCGGGTACCAGAAGGTGATATGGAGGAAATGGCAGAGGCAGCAGGCAGCAGCTCTGGAGAGAAGACGCCATCTTCTGAGCTTTAGGACTGGGAGGGAGGATCCTCCTGGGCTTGGTAGATGATCAAAACCCAGCCAGCAAGCTTCCATCACTTTTGGTAGCAAAGGGCACCCATGTATGATGGTTGGCAGGCTGACCAAGAAATAAAAGGGCACAATGCCCCTCCTGTCCCTATCATCATGCTCCCCTGAAGCAGAATAAAAAGACCTCTTACGGGTGGGGAGGCATCCAAGGAGGAGGCTGTGATGTTTTTGAGAAATGAAAGCCCACAAAGGTCTGTTCATCCCCAGTAGAAAAGCCCCTGCTCCCCCCTCGCCTCCTTGAACCCCCCTCTCCTTCATGCACTAGGTTGCTCTCAACCCCTCAGTTGCAGGAGGAATGTGACCATACAACATTGTCCCCCAAATACTTGGAATTCTGTTCTCTGGAGTTGGGTGCCTAGTTAGAATTCCGAGAAACTTGTGCCTGTTTTAAACTTGTCATGTAGAGGATCCCTAGAGTCATAGCTTGTGAGGTCCAAGGAGGAGCAAGAGTCAGTCCTTTTGGAATGCCTCCAGAGCATGTATTCTTGCTGTAAGGAGGGTGGAAAAGGAGGAGATGACTTCTGATAGTGGGAATCAAAGGGATGGAGAGTGTGACTTTCAGAAAAAAGAAAGATCTGTACTTTCTTTGGTCAGTTGTGTGGATTAGAGATATGCTTCTTTCTTCAGACTATGGGAGCATAACTGGCTCCATCACCTGGCAAACCCAGGCAGATGGGACGGGCTCCTCAAGTGTCAGGCCTTCTCCTGTTGCTTCATGGGACCTTCAACCAACTACACCTGCCCAGTCTAGCAGCCCTATTGCTCTACACTTGATGGATCTCCCCCAGCCCACTAGATGGCAGTGTTAGAAGCAGAACCTCTTTTGCTCTACTTGGATCGGGTGGGCATCCTGGGACTGCCTTCTCACGCACCATTTTGTACAGATGTCTCTTCTGTATTTCTTGTTCCTGTGGCCTGCCAGTATCTTTTTTGGGAGAATCTTGATCCATAAAGGCCATGGAAGTTTTCCAAGGTGTGTGCATGAGAGGGAGCCACTGGAAAGGGCTGGAGTTGGCCTCTATCTGCAGCTGTAGCAATTGCCAGTAGCTGCAAGCTGGACACCCAGTGAACACTCTCACAAATGCTCCTTGGTTCACCAAGCTCTGCATTTGGCAATTTTTCTTCTAATTTTCATTGTTCTCTTTATTATAATCAAGTATACATTTGTTTTCTTTATTCCATTGGCTTCAATGCAAAACACATTTCCAGCTGTTGCTTCCCCCTGCCCGGCTGCCCCGTACAACTGGGATGAAATTCTCAGGGATTCTGTCCTCACCAGTGGGATCCTTCCTGCCAGATTTCAGGAAAATAGGAGACGTGTTTTATAAGCAATTAAATTCTCACCTGCAGAGCAGACAGATGAAGACTTTGAAGCAACCTGGTGTAGCTGCTCACATCTAAAGCAGAAACATGGTGAGGTGGGTGTCTATTTTTAAACAAAGATGGATTGTGCCAGTGAGAAGAGCTAAATCCTGCACACACACACACACACACATGCTGGTGCTTGAAGCATTTCCCCCCCAGCCTAATCTTCAGCACCTTTCAGTGTTCCGTCCTACTTGGTGGCAAGATCTGTATAACTGTGCTCACTGGAGAACGTCTGTGTCACTGTCCTCATTATCCACCCTCTGATCTTCTTGAACTCTTAGCCAGAGAACCAAGAGTCAGAGTGACAGGTAGATCCAAATGTTTCTAACTATCACCCACTGTCATAAATATTTTAATTCAGGTTAGTTATAATGAATTTGTAGTCAAATTAGTTATACTGAAGAAGAGGGAGTGTTCTGTTAAGGTTTCAATAAGGAATAGGCAACCAAACAATTACTACTTTGCATGGCTCCACCACTCAGGTCCTACTCCCCCCCCCCCCAGTGCATTAAGTTTCGAGAATTAACCTAAACTTTCACCAGTTATGGGCTCTGTCATTGAGCCTGGTCTCAAGAGCAGGTACTTCATGCCAAAAAATGCATTGAGAAGGGAATCCTGGGAAAGGAAGAACCCCAGGAACAGAAGCAGGCACATGTGAAACTGCTTTATATCATCAGAACATAACGTCCATCGTAACTCCTTGGACAGCAAAAGGCCTGTCTTGAGATTCAACCCCTGGAGATGCTAGGAACTGAAACTTGAACCTCTGCCATGCAGAACATGTGCTCCACCAGTGAGCCATGGCTCCTAAGAAGTCCCTTCTGTCAGTCCATTGGCTCAGCTCAGCTGAGTATTGTCTCCATGGATGGACAGAAGCTCTGCAAGATCTCAGGCAGAGAAAGGTCCTTCCCATCTGAGACCTATTAGCTGAAGATATCAGGGACTGAATCGTGGACCTTCTGCATGCAAAGTAGGTACTCTACAACTGGGTTATGGACCCTCCCGGAAGAGGACACAACGTAGTTGGTGAAGCTACAGGAAAGGCAGACTATGGTATAGTGGTGGGGAGCAAGTCTCACTTTGAGGAAGATTGGGTGAATATTTTATGTTCCATGGAATCTTCATTGCCTCATTTGTGGTTAACATGCTGTTCCTCGACACAGAAATGTAGTTAGATCCTCTCCCTGGATCTCCAAACAAAAAGTGACATTATTCGCCACAGGTGATATTGTCCTTCGTCTGTTTTAGTCTGGTCACAAAAAGGTCCAGGATCTTCCAGAGAGAGATGCACAGTAAAGTCACACCTTCAAAATGAGAACAGACGTGGAGAACTATTAGAAGGGCATCCCCAAATTGATACAGAGGGGTACAACTAGGCCTTTTACTTGAGAAGTGAGATTTGTTCTCATCCATGTTCACATCCAAGCTGTGTTACACACTCTATGTGAGGCTGCCTTTGAAGACGGTTTGGAAATTCCAAATGCTACAATATGTGGCCACAATGCATTATAATACAGAGAATGCATCATGCCACTTTTATAAAAACTGCCTGTCAATTAAGACTAAGCATCAGAGGACTGTGCATGAGGCTGGAAAGTAACCAGAGGCTGCACCTTCTCTGTGGTGGCACCTTGACTATGGAGTACCCTCGATTTGCCTCATGTCTGGCCTTTTGTTCCTAAGGTGCCAGATGAAGAACCTCTCTGTTTCCCCCAGCCTTCTGCTAACAGCATTGTCAATTCTGTTTATCTGGGTTTCATTCATGTTTAGACTTACCCTTGTTGGAATGGTTTTAAGCACCCTGTTGAAGGTTTTTTTCACTCTGCTTTTTCATGCTGCTATTTTTGTTCTGCCATATCACTGTTTGTACTGATTTTTATCAATGTAATTAGTTTTATAATGAATGTTTATAAGCCAATTCAGGCATATTTTAGAATGCAACTAAAAATTAAAATAAATAGATAGCTATTTTTATATAGCTGATTGAGACTCTCCTCCCTTTCTATTTTTCAGCCAGCTAGCGTAACAGTGATAGGAAAATCAGAGAAGAAGTAGTTCCACTCTTTGACTCCTGTGTTTTGCCCTAAATTAGCCAGTCCAGCCAGTTGACAAGACTTCATGATACAAGACCCTGATTCCTAGACCATTGGGTTGTCTGGCTTGTTTAGGGTAAAACATAATTTAGGGCTGATTGGTATAAGGATGAAAACTGAC